ATACTTTACCCCTCAATAAAACTTTGAAAAAAACAAAGGCAATCTTAGTTATGTTTAAAAACTATAACAAGCTCGTCAAAATGTGTCAGAGATCAAGTGGCCAGCCCCCTGCCGGCCAGGATCATGTGCTGTGTGCAGCTGCGGGCAGTGGGCTATCAGTTTGAGAGTGGCATGAACACTCCACTCATTGGTTAGGCTGTAGCTTGCAACTTCCATTCTAACAGGGCTCTTTTCTGCATGCAGAGCCCTGCAGTGCAGATGCCTGTGCCCAATTAAAACCGCCAGACCAGTCCCTGAGGTTTCTGCTTGGCACAGATTTAGGTATAGTGTGCTTTTCTACGGGACATTAATAAAACTAAAAACCAAACTCACTGGTGTCGAGTTGGATCCAACTCAGAGCAACCCATCCTTGGCTGAGGCGGTATCACTACGGAAGTATACTGCCCAATCTTCCTTTCGAGGAGTGGCTGGTGAGTTTGAACCGCCAGCCTTCTGGTTAGTAGTCAAATGCCTTAAGCACTATGCCACCAAAGCTCCTGGGACATTAATAAGTGACTCAATTACTCGTCACTGAGGCTGCTACCAAGTAGGGTATAGACATATACACTAAGTGCTGAATAGCCTTGTCTAACTTTTATTCCTTATCTGTGATGAGGCATTCTGGTAGGAGTCAGGTACAGTATATTATATGTGATTCAACTTCCAGCAAAAGTTTCCCACTGAGGGGTACAAACCTAAATTGTAATTGAAAAGAGTTCCAAAATTGTAAATTGGGGTGGGGGGGAATGTTATCAGTTGCAGCCTCAATATTTTGTAACTGAAACAAATTAAAGACGCTAAGTCTGACATAAGATGGCAACTGTTCAATCATAGCTTCTGATTTCAAATTTCAAAAAGTTTTTTTGTTTGGGTCAGCTGGCTTTAAAATAAGAAATTGATATAAATACCAACTTTTAAGAGAGCTGAGTCTACTTATTTACCAGGACAGTACAGTACTGGCTGGTACATGGTACTCACAAGTCCACTGTTACATATTCTGTCCCAAAAGTTATGCTGGGGTTCTCCATGGGATTCCACTTAATACTTGAGTTTGAAAACTTCTGTTCTAAATGTCCTGGGATGGGGTCTGTTACTGTGCCCTCTCACAGTAAACTAAGGCTGCACAGTCCCCAAGTCCCCCACTCTGGAGCTGGCTGAGGTGAGCAGCAGTGCTTTCTTCCTTGACATTAGAAACCACACGGTCAAAGAATGAAATCGGGCCCCTACCTCACACCATACATAGCAATTAACTCAAAATGGATTGAACTTAAATGTAAGAGACTGAAACTATTAAAAAAAAACTCTCAGGAGAAAATAGAAGTGTCACTCTTTGTGGCCTTGGTTTCTCAGATATGACACCAAAAGCACAAATGACCAAAGACAAAATAACTGAACTTCATTAAAATTTTTTAAAAAAGTGTGCACTTCAAAGGACACTTTCAAAGTGAAAAGACAGCCTGCAGTATGGGAGGAAATATCTGCAAATCATAAATCTGATAAAAGATTAAAATCCAGAATGTATAAAGAACTGTAACTCAACAATAAGAAAAACAACTCAAATAAAAAATGGATAAAAGACTTGAACAGACATTTCTCTAAAGATATACAAATGACCAATAAACACATGGAAAGATGTTCAACATCATTAGTTAATGTTGTTGTTGTTATTTGCCGTCGAGTCGGCCCCGACTCATAGTGACCCCTCCTTCATTAGTTAATAGGGAAATGGAAATCAAAACCACAAGGAGATATCATTTAAGTCCCACTAGGAGCTCTGGTAGCATAGTGGCTAAGGCACTTAACTGCTAACCAGAAGGCTGGCGGTTCAAACCCACCAGCCACTCCTCGAAAGGAAGATGGGGCAATCTACTTCCGTAGTGATACTGCCTCGGAAACCCAAGGAAGGGTTGCTATGAGTCAGGTCCGACTCGACAGCACATAACAACAACAACAACAGGATGGCTATGATCAAAAAGACAGACAGTAACAAGTGTTGGCAAGGATGGAAAGAAAAAGGAATTCTGATACATTGCTGGTAGAAATGTAAAATGATATGGCTGCTTTGGAAAACAGTTTGATGGTTCCTTAAAAAGTTGAACATAAAGTTACCATATGACTCAGTAATTCCACTGGTAGGTACAGACCCACCAGAAATGAAAACATATGTCCATGAAAAGAAACTTCTATGTAAATGTTCACAGCATCACTATTTCTAATAGCCAAAAAATGAAAACAACCCAAATACCCATCAGCCAATGACTGGATAAACAAATTGTGGCATGTACATACAATGGAAGATTATTCAACCACAAAAAAGATTCCTGAAAACATTATGCTAAGTGAAAAAAGCCAGTGACGAAAGGTCATATATTATATGATTCCATTTGCATGAAATGTACAAAACAGCCAAAGCCTATTAGCAAAAAAAAAAAAAGTAGGTTAGTGGTTGCCAGGGGTAGATGTCTTGCTAATGGGAATGAATGGGTTTCTTTCTGGGGTGATGAAAATCTTCTAGAATTAGTGGGTGATAGTTTCAGCTTTGTGAATGCATGCAAAACCTCTGAAGTGTACACTTTAAACAGGTAAATTTTATGGCATGTGATTTGTATTTCAATAAAAATTAAAAACAAAACCCCATACTGGAGCCAAACAGGGCTCCGTGGGTCCACCCTGTCCAATATTAGCTCCACTAGAGGTGGAACACATTTGAAACAATTTCAGAGAGAACGCTGATGGGACAAAGCTTAAGAGAAACACTTCCTAGAGAGCTCCCGCCTGTAGAAAAGGCTAACAGATCTTTTATTGTTGTTGTTATTTGCCGTCGAGTCGGCCCCGACTCATAGCGACCCCTCCTTGGGTTTCCAAGGCAGTGTCACTACAGAAGTAGGATTGCCCAACCTTCCTTCTGAGGAGTGGCTGGTGGGTTTGAACCGCCAGCCTTCTGGTTAGCAGTTAAGTGCCTTAGGCACTATGCTACCAGAGCTCTTTTAGGCCCTGTTTATTCAAATCCATTTGTAGCTCCAGCCCAGTGGTTCTCAACAGGGACAATTTTGCCCTCTAGTGGGACATCTTTGGTTGTCACGACTGGTTTGATGGAGTGCTACTGTCACTAGTAGGTAGAAGCCAGGGATGCTACTGAATATCCTACAATGAATAGCACAGACCTCACAACAAAGAGTCAGACAGCCCAAAGTGGCAGTAATGCTGAGCCTGAGAAACCCTGATTTACCTACTGAGGGGTTTGCTGCTTTCCTAAACCCTTGCATTTACCATACGTAAAGGCCTACTTGGTAACAGTGACCTCAAATACGTCAAAACTGCTCCAAGCAACAGAGCATGCCCTAAACCTGAGTCCCTGATGCAGGCCAGCCCCAGGCCCACTGCAGGAAAACCTGTCTCAGAAAAGCAGTCCAGGGCTTTTCATGCTCAGACCTGGGCAAATCTGAGGTAACCAGGGAGACCTCCTCTCCTCAAAGGGCCAGATCTTAAGTAATGAATTACACGTTCAAATGGACACTTAGCAAGTTTCATCCTTAAATTGCAAATCAAAGCATTCTTAAAATGCAGTATTTCTTAAAATACGAACCAGTAAAGGACATCTGAAAGATTTGCATAAGGAATGGGAATTTTTCTCACATAAAGAAAGAATATGAAAAAAAAAAAAATTAAAATAGGAAACTGTTGTTGACCACATATATTGCTGGTATATACTAAAATATACATCCTATCTGTAAGTACCACCTTTTTCCACATGGTCCCTCCAAGTTCAGTGCCCCAAGGCTACTGCTATCACCAAATTTCCAGGCTGTAGTTAGCATTCTAAGAAAGGCTCAGCTGTCTTATATTCTGAAATACTTCAAGAATGTTGTATTTTAAACACAGTTGAGCATTTAAGACCATAACTCATATGTTCTTTCCTAAAAGGTAAGCCTGGGAAGGGAATGAGAATTCTGTCCTATCTTCAATACATAAAGGAAAACAACAAAATATAAATTACCTGAAGATCCATCATCCAGAGATAACTATTCCTACTATTTTGGTGTAGCACTTTCTATAATTTTCCAAGGCACACGTACCCACATAAACATTCTTTAGAAAAATGGGACCATATTCTACATACCATTTTATGACCTGCTTTTTCTATATAGTAAAACACATATTTATTTTCCCAGTCAGTCTGTCATCGTCCTGGCAACATGATACTCAATTGCGTGGCTGCATCATTCATGTTTTTTTTTTCCAATTTCCTTCTGTTGGATATCTAGACTGTCTTCAGTATATTGCTATTACAAACAATTCTAGAGTGATCACCTTTGTGCCAATCTCCTTTTCTGCAGTTGCCTGATTTTATTCTTTTTCATACTGCCAGACTGTTTTTCTTGAAGTTTCTTGACAACTCACCCTGCCACTAGCTGCCCAGGAAGGCTATCTCTCCACCCAGAAGGGAGTGCAAAGCTGCTCTATTAAACTTACTTCTCTTGGAGGAAGGGGTCTTGCCTCAGTACCTAGGCAGTGTACTGAGCTTGACTATGTGCCTTAAGATGGCAATATCCCATCATGGCAGACTGATCTTACCCCTTAATTAATCGCAGGTTATAAACCAACAGCTCAACAATATTCTATGCCAGGTGTCTGCTTTGTTTCTAATCTACCCCTAACCCAGCTCCATCCATTTGGACAGAAACCTAATTTAAACACCTACAGGCCATTTTTGCTTAACAAAATGCCTTGTGTGAAGTAACACCCGTATGGCCAGTCAATCTAACTTAAGGCAAATCTGCTGATGAACATGCTGTGTCCACACGTTGTCCCTAAACCAGGGTGATGTTCCTCCATCTTCCACCTTCAGGGACAAACTCCAGGCCACCTCTCCTCAAAGCTGAGGCCTACATTGGTTTGCTACCTTGTGCTTTGGTGGTTATGGGTTTGCAGACAAGAGAAAACCCCAGAGAGGAACTTACGTAGAAATGAAAATGCAAGAAGTGGGCCAGCACCCTGGGAGCCACACTGGGGAAAGTGGCCAGGAGCGTCTGGAGGTAGACCTCCAGATCTTTCTCCCTCTTCTCCACCAAGCTTCTTGAATTTTTCCCAATGATCTTTTTGGGTGGTAGCAGATTTTTATCAATCTTCCTTTCAGCAACAAGCTGTAAGAAAACATAAGCATGTCAACCATAGGCTGAGAGGCGCTGGGCCTGTGCAAGATTGAGGCAAACAGCCTGAGGATGGGCACCTGTCACAACTTCCACAACTCCTCTTAGCAGCACCACTAGGGTCACCGGTTGAGCTGTGCATCTGGGATTTGGCCTCTTCAAACTCAATTAGTATTAGAAATACCAAAAAAATTCCAGATAAGGGACTTCATCTAGAAATTCTGGAGACATTCGCAAAAGTAATACTTCTGGCCCCCTAAAAACGCCATCTTCCAAACCACAACTGCAAAGCAATCAGGGTGGGAGTGTATCTTTAAAATATTCATGCTGCAAAAGATGCAGAGAAAGGCAGCTCCCTCCAAAAGCAAAGAGAGAAATGAAACCACAGTCAGATACTAAAGTACAGGTTCTGGAATAGCTAGTCAGGTGGAACAAGTTCAAGCCTATCCTCTCTCTTAGAAACTGTCCCAGCATTTCACATCCAAACTAGTCTCAAAAACTGAGTTCACATATGCTTCTCACAGACTGTCTTGGGCTGGGGTTGAACTCCTCCGATCTATCAGCTCTCTGGCCACTTACATTAATGAACTGGTTTATTAAAGAAGTGAACTACAGGCACGAAGCCTGTTCTGTTCTAAAACTAATGTGTGGCACAATGGAAACTTGGCCTAAAAGTTGTCAAGTCCTAGAGATACAGGCCCCCAGCTCCCAAGGATTACCTTTTCATGCAGGTCATGGAAGTTGCTATAGCGGTGCTTGACTGTCCACTCGTGGTTGCCATCAGTGACCTGGATGATATAAACCTAAAAGGAAACCAACAGCCCTTGTAGCAAGGGGGGCCAGCTAGCTCCAAGGATCCGCCCTTACCCTGCCGCCAGTCAGGCTGCCCGGCCCACCAGCCTCTGCACCTGAGCCTCGCTGAGTAGCAGGGTCCCCTCTCAGCTTCCTCACCCTGCCCCAACATACACATAACCCTAGCACTAGCACCGGCAGGCACAAGGGACAAGCCTGTGGCTGCATCCATCAATGAAGAATGCAAGTGCCACCTCTTTATTGCCTGCCTCCAACCAATTTAAAGCCTAACCCAATTTGAGCATCAGGCAAGGCCATACCTTCCAAAGAAGGCAGAGTAGGGCCAGGTATGGCAGGACCAGCTTTTCTGCTATACTTCTTTCCAGGTGCTCTGATTACATCTTGGAAATAAGTTCTTTCCCAACCTTTTTAACTGGTTCATGGCTGCGGTTTCTGCTACTGAGCCAGGAGTCGAGGCAGTAAGAAACCGATGGGGGAGTCAGTGATGGGACATTATACCCTAATAGGAGGCAATATGGCTTAGTGATTAAAGATATGGATCTTGAAGTCAAGGAAGACTTGATTCTGCCATTCTTTGCTACGGGACCATATGCAAGTGACAACTTCTCCAAGCCTCAGTTTCTTCATTTAAAAATTAGGTAGATTTAAGGATCAAATGGAATCCCTGGGAGGTACAAATAGTTAACAAACTTGGCAGCTAACCACAAGGTTGGAGGTATGAGTCTACCCACAGGTGCCTCATAAGAAAGAACTGGCTATATCCTTCTGAAAATTAAGTCACTGAAAACCCTATGGAAGACACATCCACTTTACCAAATGTAGGGTTGACAGGAGTTGGGAGTCTACTTGATGGCAACTAATTAAAGGATCAGATACGGTAATATGTATAAAGTGCCTTGTGCAGGGCCTGACATGTAGTAGGTGCTCAGAAAAAAAAGTTGGGTTAATAATATTCAGCTCCGCAGACTCAGAGACAGATGAGATAGGGTTGGCCTGGATCACCACCTCCCCCCACACTCATCCACCAAAGGGGCTCAACCCCACAAGAACAAGGGCTGATGGATGAGAGCTTGGTCACCCATCAGTTCAGAGACCTCACCCTTCACCTGGAGCAGGCCTCCTGGTCCTAGTTTCCCACCCCTCTCTGTAGCACAAAGGGAAGGGGGAGGGAAAAATAAGGAGCTCTGCTGAAGCCTCCAGCCTAGAGGAGCAGCCATTTCTCCAGGACTAGAGCCTGTTGCTTAAGGATCTGCCCCCAGCTCCTCTTTCCAGTTTTGCAGCTTCCTTTTCCCTGTCCCCAGGAAAGCTTAAAGAGCCAGAAGAATGGCCCCCAGGAGGCGGTTAGGATGGGAGCCAAGGGGGTAGGCAAAGAGGCACAGCAGGGCCCAGGCCCTCTCAACCACTCCCCATCTTACAGGAACAAAGGACAGGAGACTAAGAGGTGTTCAGTGCACCCCTACCCCAAGACCACTACCTGCCAGTCAGCCCAGTAGTCCTACTTACCCAGGAGGAAATGCCCTCCCAGTCTGGAACCCCCTATTTTCGGCCTTCCACCTCCCCCATAGCCTTGAAGTAAAATAAGTGTGTGTGCGTTTAAGTGTGTTTATGTGCGCACGCTGTGCGCTTGGTTCACTGCCTCCATCTCACTGCAGCCTAAAGGGATAAAGCCTCCTAAGATTCCTGGGCCCTGTACTTCAGTTCTAAGCGCCGATTCCCCCATTTCTGAACCCCACCCTCCCCTAGTCTCGTTCGTGCCTGACGCCCCCGCTCCCCGCCGGGCTTCGAGCCCCAGATCGCCCCCTTACCTCTCAGCACAGATCTCAATCTCAAACCCTGACCCCAGGCCCCCAGTTCAAGGCCTAGTCGCTCCCTCTTTCTTTACGACCTGCGGTACCCAGAGCTCTTTACTAGATTCCACCCATTAGTGAGCCCCCTCCCCAACCTTCCCCTCCCGGACCCCCTATTACGGCCATCCACGTAGGCGCTCCCCTCCAGGCCAGAAGGCTCTAGAAAGGCATCCGGCCCATCACTGGACCCCTCCCCAGACGCGACTGTTATCCCCAGATTCCCCCCAACCCTAGTCTCCTTTTCCGATCGCGTACCCCTTCCCAAAACCCCTTCCCCGGTCCTGGCTCCAAGACCCTCCCAGAGCTGCGGAGTCCAAACCCCCTCTCCAGATTCCACCACCTCGGGCCCCCTTCTCGCAATCGAGGATCCCCCTACCCGCTACTCCCCGCCGTGACCCCCTCCCCAGTCCCCCGACTCAGTCTCCTGATCTCAGAAACCACCCCTGGTTCAGACGCCCTCGCCCCCAGCACACCGTGTACGTGTCCACGAGCTCGGAGCCCACGACGCGCGCCTCCTTGGCCGGCTCGGCTTCTCTCTCGAGCCCGAAGCTGCGCGCCGCCGCCGCCATCTTTCGGGTTCCACTGCTGCCGCCGCCGCCCGACGCAGACTGGCAGCAGCGGGGGCGGGGTCAGCGTCCCACCGCCCCCCGCCCCTGCTGAGCGCCGCGCCGCCATCTTGGCCCTGCCTGCTTCTTCCACTCTCGCCTTGTCCCCAACCCCGCCCCATCCCGCCCCTTCTGTGTGACTGACAGCAGCCTCAAAACTCTGCGCATGCGCAGATTGCTCGGGCTCTCCCGATTGTGTAATCGGAACTGGTGTGGCACCGCCCACCCCCGTCTGTAATGGCCGGGTGGCTCCCAGAGAAACTGAGCCCCCAGGTGGGGATAGCTCTGAGCGTTGTCCTTCGGTCCCGGGGGAAGGAGGACAGAAGGTCCTGTGCTCTTTGTGCTATCCGAAGCAAGTCATTGCTTCGCCTAGCCTCAGTTTCCACCCTTGGAAACCAAAAGTACCCCAATCTACTGCTTTCTGGAAAAACCAAAAAAACAAGCTCACTGCCATCGCGTCGATTACGACTCATAGCGACCCCCCCATTGGGTTTCCGAGGCTGTAAAATCTTTGTGGAAGTAGATTGCTTCATCTTCCTCTCACGGAGCAGCTGGGGGGTTTGAACCACCAATCTTCTGATTAGCAGCCAAATGCCTTACCTACTACACCCGACTCCACGGCAAATAACAACAACAACACTACACCACCAGAGCGCCTTTGCCCTCTGGAAAAGGGAGGCAGTCATTACATCTGTTTTGGCTATTTGGCTTATTCTTCATGGGACTAGAGCAGCAGTAGGTTAAGGGGAAGATGGCGAGCTTAGAGCCTGAGCCAGGGCAGAGTGACTCTAGGCCAGTTCTTAACGTCTTCCAGATGCAGCTATCTCCCCTGTCTCTGGAGATAACTGAGTGGCTTAATTCAAGCAGTTTCTGGAAAGCAGTGGGAGAGAGGCAGGGAAAGGGTTCTGAATGAAGGGGTGGAAGGGAGGTAGTAGGAGAAAGGTGTGTGCTGGCCATTGGGCACAAGACCCCTAGGTGATGTCCTAATAGAGCTCAAAATGAGGCAGACAGACTGGCCTGGGACGCAGGAGAGACAGTGCTAGAATGGGAGAGCACCCACACAGAGAAGCAGCCCTAACCCAGGGGAAGACTGAGACTTAGAAGAGGGAGACAGCAACCAGCTGGAGGGTAAGGAGAGAGCAAGCCTGGCACAGGGATCTCTAGATCTGTGTTTGTTGATTGACTTCATGCAGCAGACCAAGCCCCACACTGGCACTACTTTTCCTGGAGAGAGGTGAAGTCTGGGGTGGGTCTCCTTTGACACCCCTGGATAAAGGCTCCAGATCACGTTGCCCTAAGGCGGTTCAGCACCTCCCTCCCCTATGAGCTCCATAGCACCATACTCTGAGCTTGGCATTCAGGCTTCTCTTAGCAGGGACCTGACACTGCCTGTCCTTGTATACTGTCTCTACTCCAGAGGGGTTTGGCTTAAGGCAAGTGCTACCTAGTCAATCAGACGTTGGGCAAATAACCAGCCCTCCTGGAGCCTTGGTTTCCTTATCTGGGAAGCAGGGAGTAATAACACCCTCTTCCCTAATTGGATAGGAGGTTGAGCTGCTGTGGTAGCCTCCTGGCCTGGGGCCCACTGCTTAGCAGCTCCTGGCCTGGGCTCATGTTTTCATTCATTCAAGAAACCTTTCCAGAGAGTCCCTGGGGGGCTATAGGGAGACAGAGAAAAAGAGGTTTAGTCTTTGCAGCCCTTCATCTGCTCCCTGCCCTGGGCAGAGGACAGAAGAATCAGCCAGTCTGAGATCACCAGCGCTGGGGGAGGAGATGCTATACACACAGGGGTGGGCTGGGCCGCGCTGGCGGGAACGCGATCAGGCAGTGCTATTTAAGCCGAGGCTGCTGGCAACCCCAGCAGCCTGTCCTGTGAGCCGCCAGCATGGATGACATCTACAAGGCCGCGGTGAGGAATAGACCTGGGCTGGGTGGGCAGACCCACTGAGAACTCACTCAGCTCTCAGCTCGGGATGGGGGCAAAGTTGCCCCAGGGAGGTGGGGACCCAGGAGAAGGCCCTCCTCATACCTTCCTACTTCCTCCCTCAAGGGGGAGGTGGGTCTAGCATTTGGAGGTGTAGAGTGGGCTGGGTTGGGGGGTGTTGCAGTGTCTGGGAAGGGGATGTCAGGTGAGGAGGTCACCATTTTAGCATCATGTCTCCTGTCTCCAAGTGTCTCTCTATCTCTCAGCCATATGTGTGTGTGTGTGTGTGTGTGTGTGTGTCTTTGCCTGCCTCAACTTCTCTGTCTCTTTGTTCTTCCCAAGCAGTCTCTCTCTGAGTCTCTGTCACTGTCTTCCTGCCCCACAATTTCTGTTCCTCGCATTCTGTCCCTTACACACTCACAGTCCCCCAGCCCCTACAGCTTTTCAACTGGCTGAAGATGCTTTGGAGAGTAGGAGGAGGTTTGTGAGGAGGGGGCTGCAGAACCCAAATCTTGGGATGGGGAGAGGCTTTAAAGTTTGAAACAGGGAAAAATTTGGGAAAGGACCAGGAAGAAGAAGCAGAGAAACAAGGGCCCCAGGCTCCATTTGGCCTGGCAGGCTCAGTGCTCAGTGGCCTAGCTGGGGGATGAGGGAGCAAGGACTAGGCAGTGGTCACCCCAAGTCCTTGCAGCTTCCTGGGATGGCTGAAGGGCTTCCGATGCTATTTCACCTGAGGGTGGTGACCTACCCCTGCCTCAAAGATAAGGACATCCTGGCATAGGCAGCTGTCCCCAAGGGAACCCCTCCCTCAGTCCTTAGAGCCAAGCCCAATCCCAGGCAGGAAAGGGCTACAGCTGGCTCGGGTGCGCCCCTGCCTATCCTGCAGGACTCCATGGAGCTGGGGGTGGGGGCAGACCTCCACCCTGTGCCCATACAAGGCCTGGCGGGGCTGGGGACTAATTTTGGCTCCCAAGGCGGCACTGGTCAGGCCAGGGGGCCAGATAACACTGCCCCACCCCCTGCATGCCAGAGTCCCCAGAACAATCACCAGGTTTAACTTTGTCACCAGTTAAAAATAGCCCACTGGCCACCCCGGTCAGGTTACATTGGTGGGCAAAGGCACACTGGTTTTATTGTTCCAACCTGAGGGACAGCTGTCCCTCAGGCCACCCAGCTTGGGTTTCAGCAGGAGGGCTGAGAGTGCACGGAGTGGTCACTAGCTATTGTTACTCAGGGTCACCTTGACCCTGGAGAGGGTGCCCACCTGTCACCCTGGCCCTGAGCCCAGCCCCAATGAGATCAGCTGGGTGACTTCAGGGCATTGTGGGGTAAGGAGAAAGTACTATGATCCAGGAGATGCCTGCCCCCTCCTGGCTTTAGTCTTCCCACCTCTGGAATGGGTTTGTTTCCTCGACAGTGGCTGAGACCTAAGTCTGAGTGCTGAGACCGCCTTTCCTTTCTAGGTAGAGCAGCTGACAGAAGAGCAGAAAAATGGTGAGTGCTCCCTAACACACATGGGAGGGCCAGCAGGGCAGGGCTGGAGGAGCATGGGGACCTCTTACTAGGAGAGGACCCCAGGCTGGAGGTCAGAGGCTGGAGCCACTCTCATTGTGATCTCTGAGCCTTTGGAGGGTGGTGGGCAGGTTGGCATGTGACCCTGGAGATCTGTCTTCTGGGGTTCTGGCTGCTGAGCCCTGTGCTACTCTGGACTCCCACCCCCAATCAAACACAGAGTTCAAGGCAGCCTTTGACATCTTCGTGCTGGGTGCCGAGGATGGCTGCATCAGCACCAAGGAGTTGGGCAAGGTGATGAGGATGCTGGGCCAGAACCCCACGCCTGAGGAGTTGCAGGAGATGATTGACGAGGTGGATGAGGATGGTAAGCCCCTCTGCCCCACCAGGCCTCCAACTTATGCACACTCTCAACTTACTGGGAGCTTGAATCCTGGCTCTGCCCCTTCTTCCTCTGTGCCATTTAGTTTTGTTGAGCCTCAGTCGTCCCACCTGTAAAGTGGGCATGACAACTGCACTTACCTCCCATAGTTGGTGTGGGGCTTCAATGAGCACACCAGGTGTTAAGAGTGGTGCCTGCAGTTCTAACTGTCCCTCTCTGACTGCTGCCCTACCACCCACCCCCAGGCAGTGGCACAGTGGACTTTGATGAGTTCCTGGTCATGATGGTTCGGTGCATGAAGGACGACAGCAAAGGGAAGTCTGAAGAGGAGCTGTCTGACCTCTTCCGCATGTTTGACAAGTGAGCATGTGACCTTTGACCCCCACCCTGACCTCAGCAGAGCTGGGGAAAGAGGAGTAGTCTTAGATTCCAGGCCCAGTGACCTTGGGGTCTCAGTCTCCTGGTCTGTGTGATGGGGGAGTGGGATGCCCACCTCCCAGTATCTCTTGCTGTGCTTCCTGGGGTCATGGATGGGGCCACCTGTTCTTCTCTGGCCCCTGATATGGGCTCTAAGGACCCTCTGGCCTTCCCTGCAGGAACGCGGATGGCTACATTGACCTGGATGAGCTAAAGATAATGCTGCAGGCCACAGGTGAGACCATCACAGAGGATGACATTGAGGAGCTCATGAAGGATGGTGACAAGAACAATGATGGCCGCATCGATTATGATGGTGAGTGGGTGGGTGGACTGGACCCCTTGCTGTCTACCCCTGCCCAGCCCCCACCTCTGACCCCCACCTGCACCTCTCCAACCTCTCTCCACAGAGTTCCTGGAGTTCATGAAGGGAGTGGAGTAGAAGCTGACCCTCACCCAGAGCTGCCTGTGCCCATGCCAACTCCAGCCAGGGCCCTGGGATGGGGCAGGGGCCAAGGGTCCTGGGCCTGAACCTGGCTATGTCCTTGACCCCTGGCCCTCCTTCCCCACCCCTGTCCTGGGCAATGCAAATAAAGCCTTGCCCCTGGAGGATCTGGTATCTGGCTCTGACATTCGAGGCCCTTGGACACCCCACCAGGGTCAACTCCTGCCGTGGCAACCATCCCAGGCATGCTCGCTCTACAGCCCGTGCTCAGAATCAGTACCCCACATGCCTTCTGCAGGGAAGCACTTTGATTAAATAGAGACTCCTTCATCCCAAGCCCCACTGGCTGATGCCCAGGTCCATTTCCCATTGCTCAGCATCAGGAGTGTGTGGTAGACTAGGA